ATTGGTCATCTCACATGTCCGATTTTACATATATAGAATTTATTTTTAACTTGGACTAGTACTTAGATATTTGAAACAAGACATGTTTCGGTGAGGGTCATGACGATATAAAGGAGATTTATAAGCTCTCTGATTAGTGGATTGATAATACGATTATAATGAAATAGTGTGGACCAACTTTCTCTTATTTATAAGTTGAAGACCAACTTTCTTTAATCAGGAAATACGTTGGGGACCAATGCGGCAGTTTTCCCTTGTATAATATAAATATATTCAATTGATAATTGATGTTTTATTAAGTTCAATGTAGTCTTAGCACAATAAGCTAAAAGAAAAGAAAAATGTAATTAAAAACTAATCTTAGTACCAATTTGGCAAGATGCTTAATTGGTATTAAGATTCAATTTAAATCTCTCATAGGAAAATATTTTGGATTTGAATTCTGAGGGACAAGATAGAAGACCGCGAAGGGTAAGATGTGTTTAAACTCTTTTAAAATGGACAATACATATAATGTAATGGATTGGACATACATGTTCGGATCGTTAGATATCTATGTCCAAGTCATTATATCACACGTATTGCCTGCTTTAAGAGACTTTAAGCACATCTTACTCCTCGTGGCTTTCTGTCATCTCCCTCAGTATTTGAATCAAAATTCCCTACCTTATGAGAGATTTAAGTTAAATTTATACCTATTGGGCAACTTGTCCAATTGGTAAGGATTCAACTTAAGTTTCATAAGGCGGAGATATTGAGTAATGTTTAAAACGCAGCCTGGGCATCGAATTGGAAAAGAGAAAGGGTCCAGAATCAGAAGATTCAACTGAGGTTGAATCGAAATCGAATTGGAGGTAATAAATACCGAATGTTTCCACGCCCACAATGCGCATTATAATTCATGCCCACTGTAGGCATTAAATCATTTATGTTCATTGTAATTAGTATATATTAAATATATGTATATCAAACGAACGATTACAATATCATCAATTATATTATCGATATTATCAATAGATTGATAAAAAAAAGAAGCTTGGGTCAGTAATATCAATAGTTTCTTCATCGACCATTAGCGATCAACAAACTATTAGTAATCTTCGATAATATAATGTCTCTGTTTGGTGGAAATGAAAATTAGATTTTTAACAGATTTTGATAAAAGTTTATGAAATACGTGGTTAAAAAATTGTAGATCAATGAAATATGTGATTAGAATTAATTTTTGACTTTGACTTTAATAACAAAAAAACTAGATCATAATTTTCATCAAACAAGGGCAATTTATGATATTGTTGTTATGCCTAGTCATTGAGGCTCAAATCAAAGTGCCACGTAAACAATCCACGTAATTAGGAAAGTCAATAAGGTCCTAACTGGTCAAATGTAAAGAATCATATGAAGGGCCGAAATTCTTATGCTGAAGCACTGCCTAAACGGCTGAAGTGCGTGAGTCCGAAGCGCTACATAGATGAATCTGAAGCTCTTCACACAGAAGACCAATACAGAGCCTCCTCCAACCGAGGCCCTCAATTCACTCGAAGCTCATGAAGTTGAGGCTGTCTCTTACAAGATCTGTAGCCAATCTTTATGCATGATTGATGTAACGTTTGTAATATTGCCAGGTGTGTCAGCCTAATGTATATGGCGGCTGACCTGGTGTCAAATGTATCTATTGTATGAGAGACAGTTATGCGAAGTCTTAGTCAAGGAGAAAAGGCCACGTGGTTCTAATCATACAGACACCTCGTCGGTCGAAACACTATAAATAGGCCTTTTTTGTACCTAGAAAAGGGTTGGATTTTTGGACTTTTGAACTCTTGATAACACAAATGGTCATGCAATATCTATACATATCACCATGCTTTTCTATATACATTAGTTTGATCTTTTATTGGTTTACTTTGGAATTTGATTGGTGATTGTTGTTAGCGCAATCATCTTTATTCCATCCGTTGGTACTTGAACACTTTTGTCTCACGAAGTGAAGTATCTCCCATGTCCATGTTCATCCCGCTTCTTATCGATGCTCTAGTAAAAACGTACCAAAATTTGCTTGAGTTGGTGTGAGTGGACCCGACATATGTTGTCCACATAAGCATTACTTTTTCAGGGTCAACAGATTGACGCTGTCTGTGAAATATCATACACTTTAACCACGAAAGTCCCTTGGGAAGAAGCCTGTTGGAAGTAAATTGAAAAGAATTTCCAGCCCTTGGAAAAAAGGTATTATTGAAGAAAGAACCGTTAGAAAATCCAAAGAAAAACTGTTTCATTCAAAATACCTTGAAAAAAGAAACAGCGAAGAAAATGTACCTCA